CTTTCGTGCGCGACCTCGGTGTACTCTCAAGCTGCGACCTAAAGTCCATTGACAACACGAATAGCCTGTACCAAAACAGCCTTCGTATGCTTTGGGCTCTCAGGCGCAGCCTTAGCGCTTGGTCCGAAGAGATTGCCACTCGCCTCTTCGTCTCGATAATACGACCAATGCTAGAGTACGGCACTCCCGCATACTGTCCCATCACCCGGGGCGAAGTAGAAAAGCTTGAGCGGGTGCAGCATGTAGCCACTAGGCTGATTCCCAACTTACGAGGTATGCCATACGAAGACCGATGTAAGAAACTAGGGTTATACACCCTATCTAATCGTCGCTGAGGGTTGACCTCATCATGACGCACCGGATATTACATCTGGGTGATTACCCCATGTTGAGACAACTACTTCATCTGCGCACACCAAGCTGCACGCGAGGACACCGGTATAAACTTATCGTCCCGGATTTGAAGCGGGTCGCCCATCAACTCTGTTTCGAACGCAGAGTGGTGAATGTCTGGAACGACCTGCCTCAGCATATAGTAGAAGCCAACACCGTGGCTAAATTCAAGATGCTACTAGACAAAAAATTTGCAGAGGCAAAGTACAAAGAGCGAAACGATAAATAAAGAGTTCATGTCCGAAAACGACGAACGATGCAGCTAAACAGAGCAACCTCTACTCGCTGCTTCCCACCAGTTCTCAGTTCTCATCATCATCATCATCATCATCATCATCATCATCATCATCATCATCATCATCATCATCATCATCATCATCATCATCATCATCATCATCATCATCATCATCATCATCATCATCATCATCATCATCATCATCATCATCATCATCATCATCATCATCATCATCATCATCATCATCATCATCATCATCATCATCATCATCATCATCATCATCATCATCATCATCATCATCATCATCATCATCATCATCATCATCATCATCATCATCATCATCATCATCATCATCATCATCATCATCATCATCATCATCATCATCATCATCATCATCATCATCATCATCATCATCATCATCATCATCATCATCATCATCATCATCATCATCATCATCATCATCATCATCATCATCATCATCATCATCATCATCATCATCATCATCATCATCATCATCATCATCATCATCATCATCATCATCATCATCATCATCATCATCATCATCATCATCATCATCATCATCATCATCATCATCATCATCATCATCATCATCATCATCATCATCATCATCATCATCATCATCATCATCATCATCATCATCATCATCATCATCATCATCATCATCATCATCATCATCATCATCATCATCATCATCATCATCATCATCATCATCATCATCATCATCATCATCATCATCATCATCATCATCATCATCATCATCATCCTCATCATCATCATCATCATCATCATCATCATCATCATCATCATCATCATCATCATCATCATCATCATTACGAAGGAACGTTGGGCGTTTACGTTCTGTAAGTCAACAATTAGCCAAACCACTTGAGGCTGGTAGTATACTTCGCCCTGCAAGGCCAACCTCGTCCGACCAGAGGCGTTATAATCTCGTGATCTTTCACGCATCGGAGTCCAGTGATCCATCACCCCAAGTGCGCTACGATCACGATGTCGAGTTTTTACAGGGTCTAATTGATAGACTCTTCGACGCTGGTGAGGACTCGGTAAAAGTGAGGCAGATTACCCGTCTTGGACAGCAAGGTGATCAACAAAATCGGCCTATGAGAATCACTTTTGTGGACGAAGCCAGTCCAAGACTTATCATGTCTCGCCTAAGTAGGCTGAAAGGTTTGAAGATCCATGTTCGTCCCGACCTGGACCCAGTAGACAGGGAGCGGCTCAAGTCTGCCATCATTGAGCTGAAAAGACGCACTGGTGAGGGGGAAACAAATCTTCGTATCGTAAATTTTCGGGTGGTTTCCAACAATCCGCGAATCAGGATAAACAGGCTGCTCACACTTCAAGCACGCCCGGTGGCTCCTGCTGCGGCTTGCGAGTAGCCTTCACAAACGTTTGCAGTATTATAAATAAGCGCGATGAGCTTTGTTGTTTCGTTGCGTCTGAGCGGCCAGACGTAGTGGGACTCGCAGAGACATGGCTGCATGCAGAGTTATACACCCAAGAACTTGAACTCAACGGTTACTCGTGTTTCCGATGCGATAGACTAAAGAATGCCCACGGTGGTGTCTTACTTTACATCCGGTCTTCCCTGCGTAGGAGCCTTGTGAGCACCTACCGAAGTGACGATGGCCTGTGTGAGCTACTGTGGTGCTCCATCCGCCTCAGGCGCGGAGAACTGCTTGTGGGCGCAGTTTATCGCAGTCCCCTGAGTCGTTGTTTGGATTGGCTGCCCCATCTTCGGACCCAAATGAGTCGTCCACACTTTCTGCTTATCGGCGATTTTAACTGTCCTCGAATACGATGGCCTGATGTGCATTTGATGCCTGGACATAGTGAAGTTGAAGCAAAGTTCGTGGATTTGATACTTGAAACTGGTGCATCGCAACACATATGCCAGCCAACACGCATATTAACACGTTCAACCCCGTCTTGTCTCGACCTGATGTTAACGAGCTACGAACAACAAGTGCGTGACGTTAGGATCCTGGAGCCCCTGGCTACTAGCGACCACTCAGTACTGATAGCTGATATGGAATTATCTTTGCCGTATTCACATCCGCTGCAACCAGCTCCCAACTACTGGAAAACGGACTTCGATGGTCTTGCTCGAGCCGCGAGCCAACTGGATTGGTGTCTGTCACAAACTGCATCTGTGGAAGATTGTTGGATATTTATAAGAGAGAGATTGACATTATTGTGTTCTCAATTTGTGCCATTGAAATGTCGAAAGGTTGGACCGATTAAGCCTCATTGGTTTGACAAGGAGTATAGAAACCTGGCTCGGAGGCGGCGCAGACTGTGGGACAAATTCCTTCTCTCTGGCTCTGCCAATGATTACGAAGAGTATAAATGTCAGCGGAATCTCTGCAACAGTGCAAAAAAGAATAAACGCCGACACTTTGAAGAGCAGCTCGCATTAGCCGCGAAGACCGCCCCAAAGAGAATCTTTGCATACGTGAAGCGACGCCTGAAGCCGGCGGGTGATGTGCCAGTGCGGGATGGCACGGATGGACAGCCCCTATTCTCCAGCACTGAGCGTGCGTCCGCGTTGGCGGCGCACTTCGCCTCTATATTTGCGAATAACCAGGTGTCTGTTCCGAGTTCGACGTGTACCGCTTTTACCGAACTCGATAGTCTGCATTGTGGCGTCGAAGAGGTAGCTCAACTACTCGCCAACCTTGACGGCACCAAACCTGCCGGACCTGATGGGCTTCATTCACTGGTTCTCAAGTCACTTTCAACCATCCTCTCTCCTATCGTGACTGACCTTTTCAACAGGTCGCTCTCCGAAGGTTTGTTGCCGGTTGACTGGAAATGTGCGGTGGTGAAGCCTATTCCGAAAGGCGGCGACCCTAGCAAAGTAGACAATTACAGGCCAATTTGTCTGACACCTATATTGGCAAAGGTTGCTGAGAAAATCGTGAAGAAGAGATTGCTGCAGTTGCTACAGTCAAACGGGGTCCTGACGCCCGCACAGCACGGTTTTATGCAAGGTCGCTCATGCATTACTAACCTGCTTGTAACGAGGCATGAGTGGTTAAAGGCAATAAACAAGGGGAAGTCTGTCGACGTGATATTCATCGATTTCAGTAAAGCGTTCGACAAGGTCAGTCATGAGGTTCTCCTTCACAAACTCAGCATGTGTGGCGTCGGTGGCTCACTGCATCGGTGGATCCGCGACTTTCTTGTTGGACGAAAGTGGAGGGTACAGGTCGACGACCATCTAACTGACTGGTACCCCTCTACAAGTGGCGTGCCTCAAGGCACTGTGCTGGGGCCCACTCTGTTCCTGATCCACATCAACGATCTACCGCAACTTCTCCGGTCGCCATGTGCCTTGTTTGCGGACGACCTGAAGATTTGGAGAGAAATCGACGCTCCCGATGACTGTGGCCTACTTCAGCAAGATCTCAACCGCTTATCCACATGGTCTGCAGAAGTTCTTCTCCCGGTCAATCCAGTCAAGTCGGTATTTATGAGCCTGGGGAAGGGTGCAGACGGCCGAACCTACACCCTTGACGGCCAAACGTTATATCCCACACCCTCCGTGAAGGACCTAGGGGTACTCTCACGCTACGATTTGAAGTCCGTGAACAACACGAACAGGCTATATCGGAACGGACTGCGCATGCTTTGGGCGCTCAAACGTAGCTTCTGCACATGGTCTGAAGAGGTTGCCACTCGCCTGTTCTATCATTAGACCAATGCTAGAGTACGGTTCGCCCGCCTACTTTCCGATTACCCGAGGCGAGGCACAAAAGATCGAACGGGTCCAACACGTTGCTACCAGGCTGATCCCGAGTTTACGTGGCTTTGGGTATAAAGACCGGTGCGAGAAACTAGGACTCTAAACCTTGTCCTACCGTCGGGTGCGAGTTGACCTCATTATGACCTACCGAATTCTACATCTCGGTGAGTTCCCCATGTTAAGGCCAATGCTGCACTTACGAGGGCCATGCAGCACACGCGGACACAGATACAAACTTGTTGTGCCGGATATGAAACGTGTTCCCCACCCACTGTGCTTCGAACGGAGAGTGGTAAACATTTGGAATAGTTTGCCCGAACATGTGATTGAGGCAACATCGGTGCAACAGTTCAAAACGTTGTTAGATTTGCATTTCGCCTCTATTCGATTCAGAGAACGACTGCACACTTACGATGATATCACATTTGTGAATCCTGAAATATCGTAAGTCGAATATTTTAAATATTACATGAGAACGACAATGATATTCAAGGTTGACAACTTTTATAACGTTTTTCGCCATATCTCGAAAGAGTTGTACAGAATCCATTTCTACTTGCTCTATAATACAGTATTCAGTATTCAGTATTCATCATCATCATCATCATCATCATCATCATCATCATCATCATCATCATCATCATCATCATCATCATCATCATCATCATCATCATCATCATCATCATCATCATCATCATCATCATCATCATCATCATCATCATCATCATCATCATCATCATCATCATCATCATCATCATCATCATCATCATCATCATCATCATCATCATCATCATCATCATCATCATCATCATCATCATCATCATCATCATCATCATCATCATCATCATCATCATCATCATCATCATCATCATCATCATCATCATCATCATCATCATCATCATCATCATCATCATCATCATCATCATCATCATCATCATCATCATCATCATCATCATCATCATCATCATCATCATCATCATCATCATCATCATCATCATCATCATCATCATCATCATCATCATCATCATCATCATCATCATCATCATCATCATCATCATCATCATCATCATCATCATCATCATCATCATCATCATCATCATCATCATCATCATCATCATCATCATCATCATCATCATCATCATCATCATCATCATCATCATCATCATCATCATCATCATCATCATCATCATCATCATCATCATCATCATCATCATCATCATCATCATCATCATCATCATCATCATCATCATCATCATCATCATCATCATCATCATCATCATCATCATCATCATCATCATCATCATCATCATCATCATCATCATCATCATCATCCTCATCATCATCATCATCCTCATCATCATGATCATGATCATCATCATCATCATCATCATCATCATCATCATCATCATCATCATCATCATCATCATCATCATTACGAAGGAACGTAGGGCGTTTAAGTGCTGTAAGTCAAAAGTTAGCCAAACCACTTGAGGCTGGTAGTATACGTCACCATGCACGGCCAACCTAGTCCGACCAGAGGCGTTATAATCTCGTGATCTTTCAGGCACCAGAGTCATGTGATCCATCACCCCAAGTGCGCTACGATCACGATGTCGAGTTTTTACAGGGTCTAATTGATAGACTCTTCGACGCTGGTGAGGACTCGGTAAAAGTGAGGCAGATTACCCGTCTTGGACAGCAAGGTGATCAACAAAATCGGCCTATGAGAATCACTTTTGTGGACGAAGCCAGTCCAAGACTTATCATGTCTCGCCTAAGTAGGCTGAAAGGTTTGAAGATCCATGTTCGTCCCGACCTGGACCCAGTAGACAGGGAGCGGCTCAAGTCTGCCCTCATTGAGCTGAAAAGACGCACTGGTGAGGGGGAAACAAATCTTCGTATCGTAAATTTTCGGGTGGTTTCCAACAATCCGCGAATCAGGATAAACAGGCTGCTCACACTTCAAGCACGCCCGGTGGCTCCTGCTGCGGCTTGCGAGTAGCCTTCACAAACGTTTGCAGTATTATAAATAAGCGCGATGAGCTTTGTTGTTTCGTTGCGTCTGAGCGGCCAGACGTAGTGGGACTCGCAGAGACATGGCTGCATGCAGAGTTATACACCCAAGAACTTGAACTCAACGGTTACTCGTGTTTCCGATGCGATAGACTAAAGAATGCCCACGGTGGTGTCTTACTTTACATCCGGTCTTCCCTGCGTAGGAGCCTTGTGAGCACCTACCGAAGTGACGATGGCCTGTGTGAGCTACTGTGGTGCTCCATCCGCCTCAGGCGCGGAGAACTGCTTGTGGGCGCAGTTTATCGCAGTCCCCTGAGTCGTTGTTTGGATTGGCTGCCCCATCTTCGGACCCAAATGAGTCGTCCACACTTTCTGCTTATCGGCGATTTTAACTGTCCTCGAATACGATGGCCTGATGTGCATTTGATGCCTGGACATAGTGAAGTTGAAGCAAAGTTCGTGGATTTGATACTTGAAACTGGTGCATCGCAACACATATGCCAGCCAACACGCATATTAACACGTTCAACCCCGTCTTGTCTCGACCTGATGTTAACGAGCTACGAACAACAAGTGCGTGACGTTAGGATCCTGGAGCCCCTGGCTACGAGCGACCACTCAGTACTGATAGCTGATATGGAATTATCTTTGCCGTATTCACATCCGCTGCAACCAGCTCCCAACTACTGGAAAACGGACTTCGATGGTCTTGCTCGAGCCGCGAGCCAACTGGATTGGTCTCTGTCACAAACTGCATCTGTGGAAGATTGTTGGATATTTATAAGAGAGAGATTGACATTATTGTGTTCTCAATTTGTGCCATTGAAATGTCGAAAGGTTGGACCGATTAAGCCTCATTGGTTTGACAAGGAGTATAGAAACCTGGCTCGGAGGCGGCGCAGACTGTGGGACAAATTCCTTCTCTCTGGCTCTGCCAATGATTACGAAGAGTATAAATGTCAGCGGAATCTCTGCAACAGTGCAAAAAAGAATAAACGCCGACACTTTGAAGAGCAGCTCGCATTAGCCGCGAAGACCGCCCCAAAGAGAATCTTTGCATACGTGAAGCGACGCCTGAAGCCGGCGGGTGATGTGCCAGTGCGGGATGGCACGGATGGACAGCCCCTATTCTCCAGCACTGAGCGTGCGTCCGCGTTGGCGGCGCACTTCGCTTCTGTATTTGCGAATAACCAGGTGTCTGTTCCGAGTTCGACGTGTACCGCTTTTACCGAACTCGATAGTCTGCATTGTGGCGTCGAAGAGGTAGCTCAACTACTCGCCAACCTTGACGGCACCAAACCTGCCGGACCTGATGGGCTTCATTCACTGGTTCTCAAGTCACTTTCAACCATCCTCTCTCCTATCGTGACTGACCATTTCAACAGGTCGCTCTCCGAAGGTTTGTTGCCGGTTGACTGGAAATGTGCGGTGGTGAAGCCTATTCCGAAAGGCGGCGACCCTAGCAAAGTAGACAATTACAGGCCAATTTGTCTGACACCTATATTGGCAAAGGTTGCTGAGAAAATCGTGAAGAAGAGATTGCTGCAGTTGCTACAGTCAAACGAGGTCCTGACGCCCGCACAGCACGGTTTTATGCAAGGTCGCTCATGCATTACTAACCTGCTTGTAACGAGGCATGAGTGGTTAAAGGCAATAAACAAGGGGAAGTCTGTCGACGTGATATTCATCGATTTCAGTAAAGCGTTCGACAAGGTCAGTCATGAGGTTCTCCTTCACAAACTCAGCATGTGTGGCGTCGGTGGCTCACTGCATCGGTGGATCCGCGACTTTCTTGTTGGACGAAAGTGGAGGGTACAGGTCGACGACCATCTAACTGACTGGTACCCCTCTACAAGTGGCGTGCCTCAAGGCACTGTGCTGGGGCCCACTCTGTTCCTGATCCACATCAACGATCTACCGCAACTTCTCCGGTCGCCATGTGCCTTGTTTGCGGACGACCTGAAGATTTGGAGAGAAATCGACGCTCCCGATGACTGTGGCCTACTTCAGCAAGATCTCAACCGCTTATCCACATGGTCTGCAGAAGTTCTTCTCCCGGTCAATCCAGCCAAGTCGGTATTTATGAGCCTGGGGAAGGGTGCAGACGGCCGAACCTACACCCTTGACGGCCAAACGTTATATCCCACACCCTCCGTGAAGGACCTAGGGGTACTCTCACGCTACGATTTGAAGTCCGTGGACAACACGAACAGGCTATATCGGAACGGACTGCGCATGCTTTGGGCGCTCAAACGTAGCTTCTGCACATGGTCTGAAGAGGTTGCCACTCGCCTGTTCTATCATTAGACCAATGCTAGAGTACGGTTCGCCCGCCTACTTTCCGATTACCCGAGGCGAGGCACAAAAGATCGAACGGGTCCAACACGTTGCTACCAGGCTGATCCCGAGTTTACGTGGCTTTGGGTATAAAGACCGGTGCGAGAAACTAGGACTCTAAACCTTGTCCTACCGTCGGGTGCGAGTTGACCTCATTATGACCTACCGAATTCTACATCTCGGTGAGTTCCCCATGTTAAGGCCAATGCTGCACTTACGAGGGCCATGCAGCACACGCGGACACAGATACAAACTTGTTGTGCCGGATATGAAACGTGTTCCCCACCCACTGTGCTTCGAACGGAGAGTGGTAAACATTTGGAATAGTTTGCCCGAACATGTGATTGAGGCAACATCGGTGCAACAGTTCAAAACGTTGTTAGATTTGCATTTCGCCTCTATTCGATTCAGAGAACGACTGCACACTTACGATGATATCACATTTGTGAATCCTGAAATATCGTAAGTCGCATATTTTAAATATTACATGAGAACGACAATGATATTCAAGGTTGACAACTTTTATAACGTTTTTCGCCATATCTCGAAAGAGTTGTACAGAATCCATTTCTACTTGCTCTATAATACAGTATTCAGTATTCAGTATTCATCATCATCATCATCATCATCATCATCATCATCATCATCATCATCATCATCATCATCATCATCATCATCATCATCATCATCATCATCATCATCATCATCATCATCATCATCATCATCATCATCATCATCATCATCATCATCATCATCATCATCATCATCATCATCATCATCATCATCATCATCATCATCATCATCATCATCATCATCATCATCATCATCATCATCATCATCATCATCATCATCATCATCATCATCATCATCATCATCATCATCATCATCATCATCATCATCATCATCATCATCATCATCATCATCATCATCATCATCATCATCATCATCATCATCATCATCATCATCATCATCATCATCATCATCATCATCATCATCATCATCATCATCATCATCATCATCATCATCATCATCATCATCATCATCATCATCATCATCATCATCATCATCATCATCATCATCATCATCATCATCATCATCATCATCATCATCATCATCATCATCATCATCATCATCATCATCATCATCATCATCATCATCATCATCATCATCATCATCATCATCATCATCATCATCATCATCATCATCATCATCATCATCATCATCATCATCATCATCATCATCATCATCATCATCATCATCATCATCATCATCATCATCATCATCAACAACAACAACAACAACATCATCATCATCATCATCATCTTCAATATTTTCAGTTGTATTGAGTCGCAGTCCAAAGAGCCCAATCGCTAACTGGCCTTCGCATCCGGGACGGATTTTAATTTGAAAATCATGCATTCGTGAATCATGTTCTTCTGGAGTCCTACCGAATATACAGCTGTCGTCCATGTATACTATTTGACCAGGTAAATTGGCAAATACCTGAACCATAAACTTTTGCCAAACTGCTGGGGCTGAACTCAAGCGCATTGGCAAAACTTTGTACTGAAAGAGTCCGTCGATAGTAATAAATGCGGTAAGCGGTCTTGACTCCTTAATTAGAGTAATGTGAAAAAAGCCTTCCTATGGTCCATTTTTGAACAAAATCGGGCGTCGGCTAGTTTGGCTAATAGTTTAGCCGCAGTTGGAAGCGAACTTTTCTATCACAATTTGACTATTTAGGGTCATTGCATATTCTTAGTGTACCGTCCTTCTTGAGAACTGTAACCATAGGGTGGACTTATTCAGAACAGTTGATGGGTTCACTGAGATCATCTCCAATCATTTGCCGTAATGCTGACGAAACATCCTCTCCTCTGGCCAAAGGAATTGAACGTGGCTGAGCAACAGTTATCGGTCTAGCATCCTGCTTCAGACATATACGGTGAAGGGAGGAGGGAGCGCGCCCTATTATTTGTTCGAACAGTTTCGGGTAATGTGTCTTTACGTTTGATAGGCTAAGCGCCATGATACGCATGAGATAAGAACGGCGTGACTCCCAGTGCAACCCGAGTAGGGGACGGTTATTCCCGCGGCTGACGTACACAGCAACTGATGATTTCACGGTCCCAAATTGCAAAACAATCACCACAAATCCTCGTATTTCTACCGGAACCTTTGTATAACTGTCAAATCTATAGGCTGTACGATGTATGGCCATGTCATGTAAGTGAATGGTATAAAACTACTCAGTACTATAGCGATAGGAGAAGCTGAATCAAGTTTCAAGTCAACATGTGTTGTTCTATCGCGTGCAATAACTGTAACAGTACGAATGTCAGGCATAGGGACTTTATGCTCTGGATAATTGGAACGATAGTTAGACACATTACCTCGGTTATCAATGAAAAATACATTTTAGATGACTGTAACTGCTGATTAGAAACGGAATCTTTAAGACGCAACTGAGAAATGCATACTGAACGGCCAAAGGTCCACCCTTACCACACATTTCGCAAGCCATTTCTAAGGTAAGGCACTTGGTAAAGTTGGCTTTATGCTGTAGGCTACGGCAGCAGAAGCATTTCCATGGGGATTGGAATTCGGTTGGCGACAGGTGGATCTTGGCAACCTCCTGTATGTCCGCATGGGTAGCGAAATATCGCAACTGTTCAGTCGTACATGTTTTGAGGCGAGCTAATTCCACCGCTTTTTCCCAGGTCAATTTAAAGCGGCTTCGGACAGTAGGCGATCAAAAAAACTGTCTATAGTTTCCGATGGTTCCTCTGTTAGTCGGCCTGAATTTGAGGCGAGCCATGAAGAGGTTTGTATACCGGCCTCCTGACTTGTCCAGCAGATCTAGTGCTTTCGTTAGGGTATCATGAGACTGAAGCTCCAAAGCATCAAATTGACGTTGTCCCTCATCACCAAGTAGGTGTATAAGAAGATTCAGTTTCTGGCCTTCTGTTTAGTTAGAAGCCGCAGGTAGTTGGTCAAGATAGTTTATAAACGATATTTTCCACTGGGCCCATGCAATTTCGGTAGGCACTAAGGTCGGATCCGACCAATACACTGTAGGAGCAAGTAATTCCATCGCGTAGGTTCGTAAGCCGCGAGGCCTGCACTGGTAATCCCATTCGCATTGACAGTCTGAGACCACCCGAACCCTTCGTAGTTATCCATTTCAACTCTACTCTTTGATCCGTCCTTTTATATGTCGTTAAGGAAATTCGCTTACTTGTCGCACCTCACTAGATGTAAGCCTTATTGGAAGTCGATCCTAAGACAGCATTGTTACCGGAAAAATCCAACATGAGACTACGCTTTAGTTATCAACCTCATATATTCTACTTTAATGTTAACTCGTCATTTCCACGCCTATCTATTCATAACCGCAGACGCGGACCAAGTTTCCACGTAACTAGCTCCCAACCTAAGCGTAACTGCGGGAGCTTGAATATCCCTAGGACCACATTGCTGTTATTGCTCCCCTCATTAGTTCTGACTTCCTTTACTTGAATCCGGCTTGCTTTATTTGCTCGATAATAAGCGAAGTATCGTAACGGGATAGTTGGCGCTGCACTGGCAGAAAAATTTTGAGACCTCAGCGTTTGTGAACTCACTTTCTCCTTACTTGGTCCCATTCCGCTTAGTTTTTACCTAACTTATATGCTCGCCAAGCGCTATGGTAAACAATGGCTGACGGGCAGCACAAAAGCCGGATCCCATTTTTCGGCCATTCTTTCATCTTTACCTTTTCATAATCTCTTGACCGGATTGAAAGTATGGCATGTGTTAGAGTGTTACTGCTGATCCGGAAAGCTGGACATCCAAGACTTTCGATTATCAGTTCATTTTACTTTGGCCATCACTACGAAACTTAGCTTCTACCTCGCTCCGATGCCCACCTTGAGCTAATGAAATTTTTTCGCAGTGGTATGTGGACAACCAAATCCTAGCTTTTAGTACACCTCGCTCTTCTTAACTTATAATATTATTCATTCATTATGCTTGG